CTCTGCAAGGAGCCAACCCTGCCAGCAACTTGATTTCAGACTTCTGGCCCCCTGAACTGTGAGACAATAAATTTCTGTTGTGCTTTGTTATGGCAGTCCTAGGAAACTAAGATTCGGGAAAATATAAAACAAATTACTCAGAGGAACACAAAAGTGGAGAGCCACCCAGCTATGGAGCTACCGCCTTGCCCAACCTCGGTCCCTGCCAGGATCCTGCCTCACCGTGGCAGAGACTTCTTAGACACACTCAGACCTAACTAGATCTCTCAGGGTTGTGGCCCAAGAGAGAGCAGCATAGAGAGATGCTTCTTCTAACTCAATACAAGACCTCAGTAACAAATTCACATTTCCTGACGCCAGACACTCTTTGTCCCAGTATAACTGACACTGGGAATATCTATTCCTTTCAGAGAATGTCTTATCCACCTCTGCCCCCCACCCCCTGCATAAGGAGTAGATCTAAAGGTTATCTCAAAACATAGTTGTCTACCATTTCTACAAGAGACATACAAACAATGAAAGGATAGGTGCACCCCCTTTCTCTGAGGTCCCAAAGCCCCTGGCACTTCCCACCATTACCCATTGTTGTCTCATCCACTCACTGCTCTATCCCCAGTGTCTATCACAGAGGCTGGGACACAGCAGGAGCTCAATAAATATTTGCAGATGAGGCAGCTAGCAGGTAGGTCTGGTGACCTGCCAAAGATCACACAGAGAGTTGACGACTGAGCTAGGACTCCAGCCCAGGACCTTTGCTATTCTCTCACCCCCACCTGAGCTCATCCCATTTAGCTGAGCTAAGCATCGGGCAAAACTCAGACTTCTCTTGCCTGAACTACTGCAAAGCCCTTCTTTCTGGTCTCCCTACCACTGTCTTTTCAACAGCTCCTAAATATTCAGTCTCTCTCTCTCTCTGTCTCTCTCTCTCTGTCTCTGTCTCTCTCTCTCTCTCTCTCTCACACACACACACACACACACACACACACACACACACACACATCCATACCTATAGATCCTCTGACCAATGAGTGGATGAATAAAAGGAATTATTCACTGAACACATGCCACGTTTCTTAGCATGGCCTATTAAAGCAACCCAAGTCTGGTTCTTTCCCATCTGTTTGGTCTTGACCTTGCACACTTTAACCCCCAGGCACAACCTCTTTTCTCATCTCTATTTTGTTTGCTCAGAAAATGCCCACTCCTTCTTTAGGACCAAGTTCAAAATCACCTTCCTCTACAAAATGTTCTTTGATCCTCTCCCAGTTCCCAGTATTTCCACAGTAACTTATTTCCACCTCTTGGGCAGCTCTAATCAAAACTTCTCACTCCAGGCCCAGCGCGGTGGCTCACGCCTGTAATCCTAGCACTCTGGAAGGCTGAGGCGGGCGGATTGCTTGAGGTCAGGAGTTCGAAACCAGCCTGAGCAAGAGCGAGACCCCGTCTCTACTATAAATAGAAAGAAATTAATTGGCCAACTATACATACAGAAAAAAATCAGTCAGGCATGGTGGTGCATGCCTGTAGTTCCAGCTACTTGGGAGGCTGAGGCAGGAGGATCGCTTGAGCCCAGGAGTTTGAGGTTGCTGTGAGCTAGGCTGACGCCACGGCACTCACTCTAGCCTGGACAACAAAGTGAGACTCTGTCTCAAAAAAAAAACTTCTCACTCCAATCTCCAGGCAAGAAGGTCCCTCCCATTAGTGATGGGACTGTCCACTCCTCCAGGTCAAGGTCCCAGCATGGTGGCCACGTCCCCAATGCCTAGCACAGGGCTTGGCACAGAGCAGGGGCCCTACAGGACTTTTGGGGGAATTAGCTAAGGGAACAATTGGACGGTGAGGCCACTAAAGCAGGCTCCCCAAAATCAGCCTTACCCCTGTGCACTTTCTGCCTCTGGCAGATCCAGGAAGTCTCCTTGACAACTTAGAGCAGAGGTCCTCAAACTTTATAAACAGGGGGCCAGTTCACTGTCCTTCGGACTGTTGGAGGGCCGGACTATAGTTTTAAAAAACTATGAACAAATTCACACTGCACATATCTTATTTTGAAGTAAAAAAAACAAACGGGCAAAAACACCCACATGTGGCCCGCGGGCCGTAGTTTGAGGACGCCTGACTTAGAGAGTCCAGCAGTGGGCTCCAAGGCATCACAGAACCCACTCCAAGCCCAGCCCAAACGCCGACTGGAAGACTAGCCAGTGTGTCATTTCTCAAGCATCTTGGAGGCCCAGAGTTCCAGCCAGAGAAGGAGACTCAGTAAGTTTCAATGGCAGTTCCTCCTGCACTGGAGCTCCAGGCTACGCCTGAGACCATCCTCAAATTATTTAAATTGCGGGGCAGGGCCAGCTAAGAGGAGACAGGAGCTGCCATGTGAGGAATATGTGTGCACTTCCCCTTCCCCAAGTACACTTCCAGGTGACCCTCCACCCAGGGCAGCCCAGACAAGATTTAGAGAAGGGGATGGGGAGCTATTTTAAAGATGGAGGTGGAAAGCAATAACACTTAATTAGCAGATGACACTAGTTCTTATATTTTCCTGTGCTGAACAATCACCCAGGGTACTCTTTAAAATGCAAATTCCTGGGCCCTCCCCTTTACCCCCAATATAATTTAGTAGGTTAGGGGTTACCTAGGAATTTGCATTAAAAGCAAAATCCAAAAACAAACAAACAAAACCCCAAACCTCCCTAGTAATTCAAACACAAGTAATCCTGACACACTGGCCAAGGTCTTTTCTGGCACCAGCTGGAGACCCAACCTCTTTCTTCTCTCTCTCCCAACTACAGCCTCAGGGAGCTGGATGTCTGCAGGAATCCTAGGAAAAGACAATGACACCTGGAGTCCCAGAATAACTACACGCAAAGGTCCCAGGAGGCTGACCCACATCAGGAGTCTAATTAGAAGAGGGGAAGGCCTGTACGGTGTGGGCCCAGAGGGCAGAACAAGCTCCTTGCAGAGCAGTCCCAAGGAAGTAGATGTGAGCCCAAAGTGAGGAAGAACTTTATGGCGAATCTGTTACATCATTCCCGGCTTAAGGCCTACGCTCCAGTGGGAGAGCTCCCATCATCCTTGGATAACTCTAAATGCCCTGGCAGGCTATGAGGTCCTCCAGAATTCAGCCTCTACTTCCCCTTCCAGTCCCTCCTTAGAGCCCCCCCCTTCCAGCATTTAACCTGCACCCCAAGCAGAACCTCCCTTAGTTCTCTAAGTATGCCAGGCCCTGGAGGTCTGTTTCCTTCCTCATTCGTCCCTCCACTCTAAGACTTTGCCTAAGCTGGTCACTGCCTGGCCTGCCCTCCCCTATTAGTCTGGTCAATTCCCAGACATTCTTTAGGTCTCAGTTTAGAAGTCACCCCCTGAAGTTCCTGCTAACCCTACTGCAGGGTGGAGTGCCTCTGCTCTCTGTCCCCCCTGAATCCCATATTAAAATTATTCATTGACCACCCCCAAAGGTCTGACGTACTCTCTGTACAAGAAATATTTATTGAGTTGAATTCTTGAATTGTGATGAGCTGCTTACTTACTTTTGCCCCATGAGGCTAAGGATTTCCCCAGGACCCCACTGGCTGGCACTTAGTAGCTGCTCAATAATTGTCTGACAGAGGAATGGTCCTTCTTAAGAGGCAGTGAGTCTCTATTGTGCAGCTTTTCATTCACACAGAGCTGACCCACTGAGAGACCCTGGGAGTTTGGGTAGGAGCTGAGGAATACTGAATATGACACACGTGCCCCAGAAGGGTTTCTTCTGACATGGAGATTACGGGATAATGACTCTAGCAGGAGGCTGGAGGGGGGTCTTTGAAAAGCAACCAAGGCCCAGTGAGCTGATCACTTGATGTCAGTTAGGTTCAAAGTGGTTTGTGCTCAGGAAGGTAAAGGAACTTCATCCCAAAGCAGCAGTGGGAGGGGGATTGCCCTGGTTCTCTTGTTCTCCAATCCAGAGCCAGTTTCTCTCACACCCACCCCTGCACTCCTGGGAACTTGCCAGGACTGTCTGGACTCACTGGCACAAAAAGGCCCCACCAGCCTTGAGGCGAAGCCAGCTTCCCAATTGCTAACTCCCTGAACGTCTTTAGATACGGCCACTGCCTTAGGGCCTGGCCAACTCAAGCTGTTGTACTCAGTGCCCGCTGTGTGCCAAGCTCCAGGGGAACAAAGTCTGACTTCCCCAGCCCACGGGCCTCCTAGGCCATCAAGACAGGGGACAAACCAGGTTTCCAGCCTGTGGCTGCCAGTGGTGACAGATGTACCAGCTTCTCAGGAGGCCAGCATGGATGTGCGTACTTGCAGGATAGGCCAAAACTCATACAATGCCCTGAGCCCCAGGGCAAGTGGCATTCAGAGCCTACAAGAAGGCTGCTTGGCTTTGTGCAGTCTACCTCTGAAGCACAAATCTTTCCAGAATGTCTTCACAATCCCCAAGGGTAGGAGAATCCAAAGTGTGGATGGACCCATGCCCGCTCCCCTCACTACTACCCTCACTCCAGGGAGATTAGTTTCAGGGGCCTGGGCCTCCAGGGTCAGGGTGTCTAGTGTGGGCCGGGAGCAGGAACCCAGGAGGGCAGCATTCAGCCTGCTGTTGATTAGCTGTGTGACCCTGGGCAAGTCCCTTTCCCTCTCTGGATCTCAGATTCCTCCTCTATAAATGAGGGAGAGCAAATAGAACAGTGTTTCCTCACCTTGGCTATGAACCAAAATCATCTTGTGGTGGCAAGACAAAGGAACTCAAAAATACACAGATTCCTAGGTCCCATCCCCAAGCTCCTAAAGGAATCTGGATCTCCAGGGAGGAGAGGTAGAGCGGCCTATCAAGCCTTGGCCCCCAACCTTGGCCCCCATCAGGGAGCCTTCATGCCCTCCCCAGCCCCTTCCCCTGAGAAGCTCCTTGGCATGCAACCACCCCAGCCACACTGCATCTCTTTCCAACCTTTCCACCTCCTTGGGCCAGGGCTGGAGTAAGCCATCCCACCCCTCTCTCCAAAGAGCTCTGAAGCACAAAGCACTGGTTAGTGAGCAGTTTATTACCCATCAACCTGTCCCCAGCTTCCCACCACTGCTGCAGCCTGTACACAATCTAGACGCGTCTTCCCTCCAGCCAGTTCTGGCACCCAGCCTGTCTCCATCCCATCCCGACCTCCACACTCTCCCTCCCCCAGCCCTCCAAGGCAGCACCAGGGCCAGGGGCCGCGCCTCAGTGGGGAGGGGAAGACAGGGAGGCAAGCAGAAGCTGGGGAAAGAGGAACCAGAGTTGGCCCCAAGCTTCTGGAGCCACCACCCCAGGAAGGAGGGAAGGTGGGCTGGGGCTGAGGTTGCCAGGCGATGGTTCAGGCGGGAGGATCTTCTCCAGGAGGTGCAGGGAAGCCACTCAGGTCTCGGCCAATGATCTCACTCACTGCAAAGGAGGGGCAGTTGAGAGACTGGGCTACCGGTGGATCCCCTCCTCTTCCAGAGACCCCCAATCCATTCCAGGCAGGGCTTAGTCTAGGACAGGGGTCCTCAAACTTTTAAAACAGGGGGCCAGTTCACTGTCCCTCAGACGACTGGAGGGCCGTTGGAGAGTGCGGGTGCACATTCCACACATGCGTACTGTGGGCCCCGGACGAGAGTTGGCTGCTAGGCAGGACAGGCAGCAGTGGCAAAAACACCCAGCGGGCAGGATAAATGTCCTCGGCAGGCCGCATGTGGCCCGCAGGCCGTAGTTTGAGGACCCCTGGTCTAGGACATCTCTAGGCTCCTCCTTCACTGGGCCTCAGTTTCCCCAATATGTCTTGACACCTGGTCCTAATCAAATCTTGCCCAGCTCCATCCACATGGGCTCCCAGGCCCCCATCCCAGCCCTTTCCTGTTGGATTGGCCTGCAATGTCAGGGCAACTGGTATCAGCAGGGCTAGAGTTGAGTGTAGCCAGTGGAAGAAAGCAGAGGCAAAACAGGAAGGCTCTCATCACCAGTCCTGACCACAGCACCATGTTTAAGGGAAAGCTGAGGCACAGGGAAGCCTGCTTGATTGGGACCTCAGCATGCCACTGCCCCTCTCTGAAACTCAGTGCCTGACTTTGCAAATTGAGGGAGCTAAATGGAATGATCTCGAAAGTAGTTCTAGCTCAAGATTTTGTGACTTGGGACAGAGGGCAAAGGCAAGAGAAAGACTAAGGTCGGTACTCTATGCACCCTTCTGAATTAAGTTAACTGGATTCAGGTGGCCACATGCACCAAAATGTTGCCTCCTGGGACCCTCCAACTGGCCCGAGAGACCAAGGATGCCAGTCTCTGGGAAGCCACACTCCACCCTCAGCAAACATGCAGAGCAATCTCTCGCACACACTCACACCCACAGCCCCCAATCCCACACCCACCTTCCTCCAGCGTGATACCCTGGATAGGGACACTGTCTCGGAAGCCGCTGCTGTAGCCACCCCTGGATTTCTCCTGCTCCGAAGCCCCCTCCCCAGGGCCGTAGCCTGGCCCTACCTCATTGTATCCCTCAGCAGGCAGGGGATGCACACCACTCTGGGAAGGGAAGGGGGCTTCAAGCGGTGGGGACCCAGGAAGAGGAGGCCGAAAGGGGGCTGGAGGAGGGAATGGCAGCCCCAAGGGAAAAGAGGAGCCCCGCCCTCCGTAAGGGTCACTGGGGAAGGGGCGGGGAAGGAAAGAGACTGGAGGTGGGCGGGCACAACCTGTGGCACCCCCACTCTCAGGGAACATCCGCAGGCCCGGTCTGTAGGATGGTGGGGGCCCCGTCTGGGGGTACAGAGGGGGCGTGCCATAGCCAAAGCCTTCTGACAGGTAAGGAGCTTCGTAAGCAGGGTCTTCATGGGGATAGGAGGGGTAGGGGGGCCTGGGTGGTGAGAAGTCCATGTCAGTGCCAAAAGGGGGGCCCGATGCAGAAGGGAAGCCCCGGAGAGATGAGTCTGGTAGGGGCTCCTCCTTGCAGATCACTGGGAAGATGGAAGGAGGAGGACACGCTGGTGAGGGGCCTGGCAGTCTCCCCACTGCACACCTTCCAACTACCAGCTCCTCCCAGGTTCCATCCATGCCTCGGCCCCCCACAATGGGGGCACTGCTTCCCTCGGCCCCGGCCTCCCCATATCCCTACACCCCCACCATGGGCTGTCCTGGAGCGTACCAGGCAGGAACTTGAAACTCTGGGTAGGACTGCGCTTCCTCCGCCCATTGGAGACATAAAAGTAGACCTGGACTGGCCGGGACACCCGCTTGTTGCTATACTCAGGGACGGTCAGGGTCAGTGTCACCTGAAGAAGAGAGAAAATGAGGCAGGGCACCCTCAGGGATCCAGGCTCAGCTCACCCTTTCCAAGGGCCCAAACTCAACCTCCTAGCTTCTTCCATTTGCTAAGGAGCAAAGTCCATTCCCTAGAGATGAACCTGCTGACAGAGTGGCCACACTGCCTCCTCCAGAAAAGAATAGGTAGTTTTGGAGTCCACTCCCACTGGGCAAGGGGACCCAGTTGAGAATCTCCTGACTTCTCCCACCCCTGCCCTCTGGGGGCTACCCTAGTGACACTGGTACCTCATTGCTCTGCAGTCGGTTCACCATGGCCTCCTCCTCCCACTGCAGCTTTCCATCTGTACAGGGGAACAGACAGCTCCAGCCCAACTCTAGGGCCTCCACCCCTGCCCTAGTCACCTGCCATTTCCTTTCCTGCTAGAGCCAAGACCAAATTCAGAGGGCCCCAAGAAGGTCTGCACACAGAGGAGCCCACTGCATTTTTACTTGATAGAATGGAAGAGTCAGGGTTTAAAACTATTTCCAAGGTACAGGGAAGCCAACTGAGACCCAGGGAAATGTCAGGACCAGCCCAGGGACCAGAGGGAGTTAGTGACAAAAGCAACTCTTGAACTCTCCCATCCAACTCCAAATATCACCTCCCATGATAATGCTGTGAGGGAAGATCAAAGGTAGGAAAGGGTCCTAGCTTGATGGAGGGCAATGAGTCCAAGTCTCATGACCCAGAACCTCTAGAGATGCTCTGACATGGTCACAGGGTGCTAAATTCAGATATAGGGGCTGGTGCTCTTGGTGAACAGGGTTTGGAGAGGGCAAAGGTCTCGGGTTGGTGGCTGTACATGGAACCCTCAATTTTCCCTTTCTCTACCCCTGAAGCTTCATTTTGGGGCACATCATGGGCTCTCTAAATCACAGCTTTGCCTCCAGACCCATAACTCAAGAGGGGCCCCAGTAGGAGCTATCAGGGTCACATCATATGCCCTATCTCCATGGGGTAAGTTATCTCAAAGCAGACTCCTCTTTCATAAAAAGAATGTGTATATCTTACATTTGTTCAGCATCCTCATCATGTTAGATTGCTGTTACACCCATCTCCCCACAGGAAGCAGAAAGAACAATAGGAAGGGTAGTCTGTCTGTCTCATTTTACAGATAACTGAAGCTCAACTGGCCAATTGAGTGATAGTGCCAGAGATCTTTCACCTGCTAGTTCCAAGCTCTCCCTGCCTGCCCTCCCCTCCCCAGTGGGTACTCACCAGGGCCCCTCTCAATGAACACCACCTTGGAGTCTGGCAGGAAATTCGAGCCAGTCAGTACTAGTTCCTCCCCTCCTCTCACGGAGCAGGCGCTAGGGCTGTAAGCCTCCACCTGGGGCAGCTCCTGGGCTGAGCGCTGGGCTGCAGAGCAGTGCAAGGAAGAGGCCTGGCTGGGCTGGGTATGGAGGGGGCAGCCTCCTCTGCCCCGCCCTCTTTGGAACAACTGCCACAGGGGCCTGGGGGAGCCCTCCTAAGTGGCAGACACACAAGTAAACCAATTGTATCCACGGAGTCACACAGACCTTGTAAGGGGCCGCTCCCTGAGCAGAGAGAGAGGTGAACAGGCTAGGCCAGGGAGTTACCCAAACAGTGCACAGGGCCACCCCAGGGGTAGAGAGGGTACAGGGTCACTCCGGTCCAGCCCAGAGATAGAGTCTACAGCAGGGGAAAACTAGAACACCACCCCTTCCACTCCCCCATTTGTGGTAGAAATAAGGGCTGGGTCCTCTGTAGGGCTACCCAGGACAGACAGGGCACAGGACACTGCAGAAGAGATGGGCAGACAGACACACACAGACAAAAAAGTCACAAGAGACAGAGAGATGGCCCAGGGCCTCTTTGCTCACAGCACTCAATGGGCACCGATGCTGTCTGCACCGAGACGACCTTCCCGCCTCCCTGGGGCACGTGTACCCGGAACACCAGCCGCACGCGTGTGTTTTTTCGCCCGATGTCCGTCTCACCCTTCCGAAGCTCAATGTCTGAGTTCCGAAGCTTCAGGATTCCAGCACAGTCAATGCTGAAGGCAAAGGATGGATGGCAAGCCCTCCTAGCTGAAGCCAGAATGGTGATACACCCTAAAGAGGGAAGCCCCTGCCCTCCATCCAAAGCCCTGAATGACTGGTGCCTTAGAGGCTGTTTCTAACCCAGCCTATCCAGGGTGCCCCCAGCCCCAAAATTCCTCTTTGAGATGGTAAGAAGGCATGAAGTTAGCACCTAAGGATGATGTTTAGCTCTTCTGGGAAAAGGAAGAGGTGGACTAGCTTGGGCCCAATGGAGAAGGCTGGTCTAAATCCTGCAGATGGAGGGGAAGTTGCGTGGGGACTTACTTGGCCGCCATGTTGTTCTCAGGCAGCAGGGTCATCTCCAACACCTTGGTGCCACTGACTACGGCTTCATAGCTGGCCGTGGCCACCATCTTGCCCGTGATACGGTGCACCTGGTAGAAGGCATGAGGCCTCAGGTTCCTTTCATCTGCAGTGCCGATGAACATCTGTAGGGTCAGCGGCTTCTCACTGTAGCCTAGGAGCTGGCAGAGGAAGACAGAGGCCACCTAATTGAAATCCCCACAGTCTCATCCTTTATCCATCCCTGGATTTTCAGTCCACCAGTGAATGGGGATGGTGAAAGATAAAGGATATCCTGGAAGGGAATCCCTGGGGAACTGGGCACCCGTTGTGGAGAAAACGTGGCCTGGAGTTCACAGTGTTATTCTTGGAATAAGGCCCAAACTGGGCTGGGCAAAGGGGGAAGAGCCTCAGAGAGAGACTGGCCCAACTCAATATCCTCAATATAGAGAAAACCTAACTCCCAGTGACTTTTGGCCTCTGCCTAACCCTTCCCCCACATCTGGCAGGCCACCATTTTCCAGAGTAGACATGAGGCTGGTGTCCCAGGGGATGAGTTGAGTGGGCGTGGAAGGACAAAGGAGTAGAAAGTATATCCGGGTCCTTGAAGTACACCCCTCCTCCCCCAACTCCAGTCCCTCCCCCAGGCTGCCTGCAGGACCAGGGCTGAGAGGGAGTGTGGGAAAGGGCAGTGCCATCCGTTCTGCACAGCTGGAGCCCATCTGCAGGGATCTGGGATGGGAGCTGGGAGCAGGGAAAGGATAACAGGCCTGGCCCCTGTCCCTTACCTTGACTACAGGGTGACCACCAGGGGCAGCTTTGACAGCTCCACGGCTGCCTTCTGTCTCATAGTGGGCCCTGTGGTGGGCTCTAGGCTGCACCTCGATCCTCAGCTCCAGCTGCTCATACTGGCTGGGCAGAGGCCAGTCCAGGGGGGGTAGGGCAGAGGTCCTGGGTAGAAGAGAAGAGCAGTGAATACCGGCAGCCTCGGACCCCAATCAGGACCACTCTGGGTTTGTGAGGGAGGAGAGGTATGGGTCTAGAAAGAGGAAAGCACAGCAGAAATAAAGTCCAAAAGCCCAGAAGCAAGGGGAGATAGGGGACAGAGCCCCTTGAGATGAGGGTATGGAAGATGGCAACAAGCCTGAAACTCCTTTCTTCCCTGCTCTGAGCACAGGATTTGGGGTAAGGAGGCTTTGCCTGGATACGGAGGAACCCCAAACCTGTCCTAAGCCCCAGACCTAGATGGGAAGAGTAAAAAAAATGCCACTTCAGACCAAAAAAGACCTTAGACCTGAATGCTTTGTTTTACAAATAAAGGAAATGAGGCCACAGCCAGTGGCAGAACTCAGGATAGAGCACACTCTGCTCCTAGGCCAGCTCCCTTTCCACTGGTTGGGGCTTGAGAGGTAGAGTTCAAGGAAGCTAAGGGGTTTCAGGTGGGGCAACTTATCCTGCACTGCGCTCCCAGATATCCTAGGCCAGTGAATCTCAAGTGGTAACTGCCCCTCAGGTGATATTTGGTAATGTCTGGACACAGTTTTTGTTGTCACAACTAGAGGAGGTAGTGCTACTAGCATCCTATAGGTAGAAGCCAGGGATGCTGCTGAACCATCCTACAATGCCCAGCACAGCCCCGACAACAAAGAATTATCCTACTCAAAATATCAATAGTGCTGAGGTTGAGAAAACCTTGCCCTATGGGAAAACTAGGGGAACAGGTATTAAGGTGTATTTCCCCTAGAAATTCTTCTGGATGGAGCTAGCTCAGTCTGACATCTCAAGGTTTAGGGTTATTAAATGGACAGGCCTCTTTGAGGGTGGAAGGGGTAGAATGCACGTTTTAATATGAATTCTTTGACTTGCAAGTATATGCTATTTTATTCAAATTAGCAGCTATACTTTTAAGCCACTAAGTGAGGCCCTAGAAATTAAAGGGTAGAGAAGGGGGGCATCATGCAACAGAGTGTAGGGCTGGCACCATCTAAAGGACCAGAGCAGAAGGCTGAAATCCATCCCAAGTTTCATACTCAGCTACATGCCAGCACAGAGCTGGGGGTAGGGGCCATGCATCCTATAGGAACTGGGTGGGGGGGACCCTTTCTCTAACTGGCCCACTGAGAGCTATTGCCCATTCTAAATCTTTGGTCCAGAGGGGGCATTTTTTTTTCTTATTCTAATTGATTAAAACCAGGAAGGTGGCAGCTACTATGCAGGTTGCAGATTCTCTTTTGAAACATGGAGGGCATGGAACTAAGATCTTTCTTCCAACCCATCCTTTGATCCTCCTGCTCCCCTAGTGAGATGGCTGGAGAGAGCAGTGGTGCCAGGTGCAATCCTCACCTAAAGATGGGGCTGTGTCCCCCAATCCGGGCCTTGGACCAAGCGAGTGGGGATGGCACCACCAGGTAGTCCATGCCAGCCACCTCCTTCTGGGGACCCCCAGAAGGAGCCACAGATTCCTCTGCTCCGGAGGGCAGCTTCCCATTGCACGGGGCAGGCTCCTCAGATCGAGGCAGGACCACCGCCTGCTCACTGGAAGTCCGCCGTGTCTTCTGGGGGATGCTCTCAGCTGGTGGGGCCCCCACATAGTCAAAGGGACCAGGGGAGCCAGGGTCTCGGGCCAAAGGCAATGGGGGTGGTGGAGGTGGCTCCGGCCCCTCTTCCCCCAGGCTGCCACGGCGGGACAGAGCTGGGGAGGCCGAAGATGGGGTTCCAGAGCTGGAATAGCGCCGCTTGCCACATGGAGAGGCAGGCCGGGGAGAGGCTGGGGTGGGCCCAGGAGCACTGAGGAGTAGCCAGCTATCCTCTGGCCCTCGGCCTCCAGGGCTTGGACCATACAGGCTCCAAGGATCTTCAGGGGTCCATGGTCTAGGGGAGGCCCGGGGTGAGGGCAGTGGGGAGCCCAGGCCAAAGCGGGAAGCTGCCTCATTTAGCTCAGACTCCACCTCGTCGCAGGCTGCATACAGAGCTGCCTCATCTGAGGCATCGGAGAAGAAACTCCACGAGGACAGGCTGCTGCTGCCAGGACTGGGGCTGAAAAAGGCCCCCCTGCTCTGGCCCCCTGCCTCTCGGTAGCCCCCAAAGCCTTCTGGTGGGGGATAATCTCTGGGAGAACCATCCCCCCAGGCATCAGGGTTGTCCTCCAGCGCAGCAGGTGGGTCAGGTGTTGGAGAGATGGAGGTGATGCGGATGCTGGGACACTCAAGAACACGGCCGCCACCAGCACCCCCAGCACCCCCTCCTGGGCCCCCCAGCCTCACAGACCGGGCAGGCTGGCTCTCCCAGGTGCCAGGTGAGGGGGCTGGACGCGGTGGTGGGGAGTGCATGCCAGGCCGAGGGGGTGGAGGTCGGGGAATACCAATAGGGGCAGGAGGCTCCCCCAGGGCCAGGCGGCAGCATGATGGGGCATCCTCTGAGTCCAGTTCTGTCAAAATGGGAAAGGGGGACAGAGGGAGATGGGGAGAGAGAGAAGCAGGTGAGATGTCTAAGTTCCTTGAGTAGCCTAATCCCAAGTCCTGCTATGTTCCCCTCCTCAGCAAGGACGGGTCCAGAGGGGGCATTTTTTTTTTCTTATTCTAATTGATTAAAACCAGGAAGGTGGCAGCTACCATGCAGGTTGCAGATTCTCTTTTGAAACATGGAGGGCATGGAACTAAGATCTTTCTTCCAACCCATCCCTTGATCCTCCTGCTCCCCTAGTGAGATGGCTGGAGAGAGCAGTGGTGCCAGGAGGAGACCTTCTGAGCCACAAGACAAAAACAAAGTTGGACTTCAAAAGACGGAGGAGATAGATGCAGGCGTGCCCAGGCCCTTTCCCACTCTTCCCTAGATCCTGGGACCTAGGGTACCCGACAGGGCGGGCCTCTAAGGTGAGGGAGGTGGGTGAGAGGGGCTGGAGCTGGGCCTGGAGGCGTGCTTAGCGAGGCGCTGGACTGGGCTGGGGGCGGCTCACACATGAACCCAATTAGCAGCGATTCCCAAACCCCCAAACGGCGCTGGCAGGAGCCCCAGTTGCCATCGCAACCGTGGCCAAGGAAGGGGGGGCGCAAGGGCTTTGGTGACGAGGGGGGGTGGCTCCTCCCTTGCTCCCCCCAACTTGGGGGCGGGGGTGCAGCCGAGAGGGCGAAGCGTGCAGAGCCCAGCCGGGGGAGGGGGGGCGGCGGGCATCGTGGATTCGTGAGAGCCGCGGCCGCCGCCCCCGGCTCGGTCCCCGCCATCTGCCTCTCATTGCGGCCAGACGAGGGAGGGGGAGGGGCGCCCTGGCGCGGCCTGAGAGGTCCCCAGCTCCGGGCGTCCAGTTTGGTGGACCAGGGCTCGGTCCACAAGGGGCAAGTTCCAGAATCGAACCTCCCCTTCCCCTGGCGGTGCCCTGTACTCTTGGGGCCGCCTTTCCTGCCCGCCCCCCGTTTCAGTGACAGTCGGCCCAGCCGGGAGGCGGCGCGCAGCCAACGGCACCCCCACCCCCACCCCAGTCACGACCTAAAAAGGAGAAAGTGGTGCCCGGGCCCCCACCCTCACTTCCGCAGACCAGCGAGCCGCGGGACCCCCCTCAACCTCTGACCCCCTTATCCTCCACCCCAGGCTCAAAGCCCTAAATTCCCCATACTCAGGATCCCCAGGCACTTAAGTCAGTGACCCCAAGACCCCTTCCCAGCCCCGCACTAACCTTCCCCCGACCCCCCCGCGCCCAGCGGGGGGGCTTCCTTTTCCTCCCCGAACACCAGCTTAAATTCCAGCTCCTCATCCTCGCAGCTTGCTGCCCCCATGGATCCGGCCAGAGCCCCCTGGTCCCGGCCTGCGTGGGAGGGGGGAGCTCTGGAGGCTGCTGTATCTTCACGCGGGTGGCTCCCTCCCTCCCTTTCTCTGAGACGCCCCCTCCTCCGCCGCTGCCGCCTCCCTCCGGACGCCCCCTAGTTATTATAGAAACTTTTCCAAACTTTTTTCCCCCAAACTTCTTCAAAGCGGGGGCCCCCCCCAGCCTGTCCCTGATTGGCTACCCGGGATGCTCCAGCCCCTCCTCCAGGGATGAGATGGGAAAACCACGCGCCCCTCGTCCTCCCCCACCCTCCCTCCCTCTATCCTCTCTCCAGTCCCTCCCCCTCCAAAAAAAAAAAAAACTGAATTGGAAAACGGTCCCTCCAGCGCGTTACGACCCTAGTGATGCCTATTGGCCCGCAGTCGTGACAATCATCTCCCGCAGGGAGCTCAACCCCCGCCCCCACCTCCTCTTGGTCTCAGTTCGGGGCCCTGGGTCCGAGCGCCTTAAAGGGGCCACATCCTGGGCCCCCAGTGTAGAGGGCCCACGGAAGACCCTTCCTTTAGTTCTAAAGACTTGTATAGCCAGCATCTCTCCTCCTCTTTCCCTCCAAGCCTTAGGCCAGGCGGGCTCTGGGGTGCAGAGTGGCTCCAGGCTGCTCTGAAGAAAAGGCCATTCCTTCCAAGTCCCCTGCCCGAGGCTATTCTGCCTGGGCCTTCTGGAAGTCTTTGCCGGGCCGAATCAGCGCCTCCGTCCGTCATGTCTCCCTGCAAAGGTGAAGAACGTTTAAACATCCTGGATGCTTCTCAGAGCAGTAGGAGCCAAAGAGCCTGTGGGGAACTGTTCGAAGGCCCACAGCCCCTGATGGGCGTAGATCCAGGCCAGGCTTTGCGGCGGCCCTTGTCCCAGCCACCCAGAGGGGCCATTAATTAGCCTCTGCGGGAAGTCGGCTCCCTCCTCCCCGTCTGGAAAGAATCTCCGATCAGATGGCACCTTGGTCCGGCTCTCCTAAAAATCCTGGCCAGGTTTACTGGAGGCCCAGAGCCTAACGACCTGGAGGGCCCCAAGGCTGGACACCTGTCACCTGGGCGGGGGGAGGAAGGAAGACCCGGGCTGGAGTTTCAAGGAAGGGCAGGCATTGAGGAGCCTGGGTTGTGTGAGAGGGAGTTAGACGGGTGATTCGTGACTCCTACAAGAGATGCCGGGGGCCGGGGGTGTGCGGTTACCATTTTCCCCGACTCATACCGTATGTTTCAAACCCCTCTAAAATGCCGCAGCGATCTCCAATCTCTAAATCCCTCCGGCTCAGGGAAGCGCCCCAACGGCGCCCCAGCCCGGCACCTGAAGTGTTAAGCGACGGCCCCGGGTCAGACGTTTACAAACACTCAGGAGCCGGGCGGGACCGCGCCCGTTACTCTAATGAGAAACAGGCTCTGCGGGCTGGGGGACGAGGGGAGGGCGGGCTGCCCGACGGGCCGAGCTCCGCCGCGGCCGAGGCGCCCCCCCTCCCCTCAGTCCTCCCTCGGGCCCGCCCAGGGGACCCCCTCCCCAGCCCCCGGGGACCCCAGTGACGTGCGGAAGCTGCCCCGGCTCCAAGCCCAGGGCCGCGACGCAGGAGGGGCGGGAAGAAGAGGCCAGGCCGGCGGGGAGAGAAGAATGTTCCGAGAGGCGGCCTGGTTTGATTTTTCTTTTTTTTTTTCCCCCTTTGGTCGGTCTCCTCAGGTTACATTTCCCGTCCAGCTTCATCTCAGAAATAAAGGAAGGAGAGACACATGGGCAGGAGAGCGAGGAACACCTCGAGACCATCCACCAGCCCGCACCTAGGAGGGGGCAGAGGAGGCGGGAAGCGGAAGCGGGCAGGGCTGGGGTAGAGACCCCGAAACCAGCCCCGGCTACCCCACACCCTGGCCCGCCCCGCCCCCAGCCGCCCCCGCGCGGCCAGGCAGACGCGCACATTCTTTTCAAATGTCATATTTCCTTTGATCCTGGGCAGCGTTTCTCCATGTGTCTGGCTCGGCTCCTGCCCAGCCAACCGCCTCCCCCTCTCGCCCCGCTTTGTTTTCCTGGAGAACCCGCTCCCTCCTCCTAGCATCTGGAAGGCCCTGAGGGCTGGCGTCGGCCTCCACTCCCCTGATGACTCTGGCCTCTCCTCCCGGTGACTCAATTTCCCCTCTGCGGGAGTTGGGGGGTGAGGATGGGAGGAGCAGAGGGGAGAGTTGTCGAGCTCAAAAGTGGTACGAAAGAGCCCAGAGACCGCTGAGGGTGCCAAGCTTCTCCGGGCCGGGCGGGAGAGGGGGCGGTGTGGGCATCCCCTCGGCTCCGAAAACCCCCCAATCTGTCTGGGCTGCGGCAGAGGGATGGAACATATGATTTCTGAAATGTCCTGCCTGGCTGGAGCCTGCGAAGAGCGGGTAGTTGTGGGTTTGTCGCCCTACACTTCCGCCCCCTGGCGACCACAAAGACCCAGCCGCCCTTCCTCCCGCGCTCGCGGTTTCTCGCGCCGCCTAGCCCGGGTTCTTGCTCCGCCGCCCCCTAGCGCGCACACCTGGGCACAGCTCGGCTTGCTTAACCGTGGTTGGTGGTGCGCGTGGCCTTCTGCTATGCGCTTAACAAGCATGATTCAGTAATTACACAAGATGCATTCTTCTTGTAAACGATTCAAGACACACAAAAATATGTAGTAAACTGTGATAGTCCACCATTTTGTATGCATTTACTAACATGTATGCACACACACATGCTCTTTTCATGGACATGAAATCATGCTACAAGCATTTTTTTCTTGACCCGCTTTTTTCCCTTTGGTTGACAAATGGCTTGGAGAGCTTCTGTAATTTTCAGATGTACTTACCTGTGCATCTAGAAATTGATGATGATGGCGGGGCGCGGTGGCTCACGCCTGTAATCCTAGCACTCTGAGAGGCCGAGTTGGGTGGATCGCTAGAGGGCAGGAGTTCGGAACCAGCCTGAGCAAGGGTGAGACCCAGTCTCTACGAAAAATAGAAAGAAATTAATTGGCCAACTAAAAGTATATATACAAAAAAATTAGCCAGGCATGGTGGCGCATGCCTGTAGTCTGCAGAAGGATTGCTTGAGCCCAGGAGTTTGAGGTTGCTGTGAGCTAGGCTGACGCCATGGCACTCACTCTAGCCTGGGCAACAAAGTGAAACTCTGTCTCAAAAAAAAAAAAAAAAAAGAAGAGGAAGAAGAAAGAGGAAGGAAGGAAGGAAGGAAGGAAGGAAGGAAGGAAGAGGGAGGGGAGGAGGGAGGAGGGAGGGAGGGGAGGAGGGAGAAGAGAGAGAGAGAGAGAGAGAGAGAGAGAGAGAGAAGAGAAAGAAAGAAAGAAAAAGAAAGAAAGAAAGAAAGAAAGAAAGAAAGAAAGAAAGAAAGAAAGAAAGAAAGAAAGAAAGAAATTGGTGATGAAAGTGCCCACCTTTTAGTTGATAGAATGACTTAGAATCAGGTTAGTAACAGATCTGGAACCCAGGCCTCCTGGGTCCTTGTCCATTGCTAATTCACTACACCACATGTTACATACGAATCTGTCTTGGGCTTGGCTCCCCCAAAAGTAGAGCCTGGGACAAGAACAAGATGCAGGTAGTTTATAATGGAAAGCAATCCCAAGGAACAGAGGACTGGAAAAAGTGAAGCTGAGAATGAGGCAAAGCCTCTAAATCCCTCCGGCTCAGGGAAGTGCCCCCAACGTGTGGGGGTGTGGTATTGAACTGGTCACCACTCTGAGCAACTGGAACATTATCCCACTGAGGATAATAAATTATTCCACTGGAGAACTTCTGTGGAGCTATATAGAATGTGACTGAAGAGACAGAAGAGGGGAATATTTACACTTTGGCTCCCACCCCTCATGTCAAATTTGCCTATAAGTATTAATTCCCTTACTCTTCCAGGTTTACACCAGTGTCAGCATCGTAGTGTCCCACAAGGCTGCAGCAAAGAAGTCCCTGGGCAAAGGCAAAAGATAGAATCTGTAGTGGGGACCACTGTACTGTCAAGTGATGGCTGCAAAACAGTTGGTTGCTATAGCAATAGCTGGAGTAAAAGATGAATGGCGAGTATGTGAGGCAAGTGTCCTATATAAAATAATTCATTCAAACAAAAAAATGTATTCATTTATATTCAGAGGCAGTTCTAGGTATTGGGTACATATATTTTATAAGCCAAGCCCCCAATAATTGCCAGCTTTTATCAGGTTGGTAATATAATTCCTCCTTGACATCTTCTTCCTTGTCTCTGAAGCTGTAGAGACCTGTCAGTTTTACTCCTGCAGTATACAGCCTTCTTTTTCATTCCCTTCAGTGTCACCCCAGTTCAGAGCCTAACTTTTCTGACATAGACTTTCAAGTTTAGTATCTAACACCAGGGGCATACCTTACATATTTAATAACTGGAGCATATCATTTTAAAGCCCTTCTTTTCTATAAGAAAAAAATATAAATTTTCAGTATGAATCATGATATAATATAACGGCCAGAAAAGAAATGCAGAGAGCAAAAACTTTCTTTCACTGACCGCATATGTCTAATAATGCCAGTATTTTATATATATATATATATATATACACACACACATAAAAGTATATATAAATATAATATTAATATAAGTATATATGCTTAATATAAGTATAAGTGTATTATTACATTATTAATATAAGTGTATAATATAACATTAATATAAGTATAATATTAATATGCTTTTTGTTTTTAAAAATGAAAAACTTATATCTCATATTAGTATATCACAAGAATAAAAAAATAATATAACTGTTTTTTCTGTTTTGAGTTTTAACTTTTGAAAATTTGTCAATGACTTTGTCAAAACTGATATTCATGTTTATCTTCATTAGACAATATAGACAGATTTGTTGACCTATTTCACTCTTAGTTAATAAAAGAAAACATTTTTTCTTCTTCTTTTTTTTTTAAATTTCTTCTTTAGTCTTTTTTTTTTTTCTTGAGACAGAGTCTCACTCTGTTGCTCAGGCTAAAGTGAGTGCCGTGGCATCAGCCTAGCTCACAGCAACGTCAAACTCCGGGGCTCAAGCAATCCTGCTGTCTCATCCTCCCGAGAAGCAGGGACTAAGGACAGGCATGCGCCACCCTGCCCGGCTAATAAGAAAACTTTTTAATAATTTTAATTTGTATTGAAATAACATCCACATACCATAAATTTACTCTTAATTGTATAGTTCAGGGGATTTTAGTATATTCACGAAGTTGTACAATCATCACCATACCTAATTCTAGGACATTGAAAAAACCTTATATTTATTAGTAGTCACTCCCCATTTTCCCTTTCCTCCAACCCCTGGAAACTACTAATTATTTCTATCTCTATGGATTTGCCTATTCTGAAAATATACAATATGTGGCTTTTTGTGTCTGGCTTCTTTCACTTACCATAGTGTTTCCAAAGTTCATCCATGTTAAGTATATATTAGTACTTTATTCCTTTTTATGCATGAATTTTAATTTTAATTTTGAAAATTCTCTTCACATGAAGTAACAGATATATAAATTTCTAGAAAAAAAATCTTAAACCCAAAGATAAGATTGGCATGATTCATAAAAATCCTATTTCACAATAAATTCAGAACTTGCAATGTGCTTTTATTTTTCCAGGATTGAAGCTAATAGCTTTCAGTGTCTCACTTGAAAAATTTTTAAACACAAACAAACATTCCAAATTGTCACATAATGTATTAGTTATCTATTACTGCAAAACAAATCACTTCCAAAAGCTTGTGGATTTAAACCACAATGATCATTCATTATCTCTCATGGTTTCTGTGGGTAAGAAATTCAGACAGGGTGCAATGAGGAAGGCTTCTACCTGCTCAGCAGTGTCTGGTGGACAACTCAAAGACTAGAAACTAGAATCATCACATGTCTAGCAGCTGATACTGACTATTGGCTGAGACTTTAGCTAAGAACTGGCTGTACCACACACATGTGACTACTCCATGAGATTTGGGCTGCCTCAACATGGCAAGCATCAGGAGAGAGCACCAAGCAGAATATACATTGTTTTTATGACCTAGTCTTGAAAGTCACATAGCAGTACTCCATTGGCCAGGGCAGTCACAGCCCCTGGCCAGAATCAAGGGACAAGAACAGTAGACCCCCACTTCTAGGTGGAAGTATTGGACATACTGAAAGAAGAGTGTGTAGAATGGGATAAATATATGCATGTGACCATCTTTGGGAAACAATCTGTCAGTCTGCCCTCTGGTTATAACAATTCACTTCTCTCATACTTATCCCCTCCCTGCAAGAGCCTCAGGGCCTCGTCCGATTGTAGTACCAAGCTCAGGTTCAGGAGCCCAGATCTCACCTAGATCCTAGACCTCAAGCCTGAGCAAGTGCTGTATAGCAGTTCACCCCAAAACTTAGTGGCTTCTTCAAGGTACATACTACCTAATTGGTAGATAAGACATAAACACGCAAAAAGTTTTATAATAATAAAATAGTTTCACAATAACCAATAATTCAGGAGATATAACAAAGGAATTTTATCAATAAGAAATGTTTGTTTGGAAGCAGCAGAAATTGATTTCATGTAACAAGCAAAAGAGGAATATACTGAAAGGAGAGCTCACAGAACTGAAAGAAAAGGAGATTCAGGTTTCAGGAAGGATGGGAACCAGAGTGGTTCTGGGGAATAAGTCAGCAGGATCTGAGGCACAGTCTCTTCATGGTACTGGACATTTTCAGTTCTTGGTATGTACCAAGTTCCTTCTGTTTCCAGTACTTTAT